GACCCCAGTAGTGGGATCCGGCACAGCAACGTGGTGGCCTTCATCAACGAGAAAATGGCCAGGCACACGAAAGGCCCCGAGTTCTACCTCGAGAATATATCCTTATCCTGGGAGGAGGTGGAAGACAAGCTCTGGGCCATCCTGGAGGACAGCGAGGTGCCCAGCGAGGTCAAAGAGGCCTGTACCTGGGGCAGCTTGGCCTTGGGCGTGCGCTTTGCCCGCAGGCAGGCACAGCTACAGAGGCACAGGGTGCGGTGGCTGCAAGGCTTTGCCAAACTGCACAGATCAGCTGCGATGGTCTTGGCCTCAAACCTGACGGAACTCAAAGAACAGCAGGAGGTGGAATGCAATAAGGCGACCTTCCAGTTGCGGATAACCCAGACCAGCCTTGCGGAGGCGCAGAGAGAGCGGGACATGCTGAGATGGAAGCTCCTCCATGCTGTAAGATCCCCCGAATGGCCCCTGCCCAATGCCCCTGCCCTATGCCCCTGCCCTGTCCCAACCTGCCCGGACCCCCTGCCCTGTCCCCAGAATGTGTTTCAGCTCTGCCTACTTCTCTCCAGGAGCTGGCATCTTCCCAGCGGCAGGGCCAGGCTACAGTGTTTCCAGGCCTGGCCACTGCCAGAGGGGATTGGACAGAAGGAGCAGGTGAGCAGGAAAAGGAGGCGGTGGCTGCTGCTGGTGCTGCTGAAGGAGAAGGAGAGGAGAGGTATGCAGAGGCGGGGCCTGCCCCTGAGGAGGCCTTGCAGGGGCTGGGAGGAGGCTTCAGGCATCCTCTGGGAGCTGTGGAGCAGGCAAATTACACCTTTGGGGGGCAGAGGGAGCAGGATCTCAGGTCAGTACAAACAGCCCTGTCTTACTTCTCTGGGCCTGGGTCCACAGCCTCACTGGAGCCTCTTCCTGTCCAGCTCCCTACCTCATTCACATACTCATAACCATGCCCTTTGTCCGCCTTCTCAGCCATACCCACTATACCCCCTTCACCAGCAAAGGTCACAGCACCGGTTCCAACTCAGATGCCTTCCAACTGGGGGGCCTCTGATGCTAGCCTGTGGTCTGATGTGGGGGCCCAGGGAATAGACCCTCAAGAGCCCCCAAGAGACAGGAGAGACTCCGAACCTCATCAACAGAGAAGACCTCCAGTGTATCGCAGGCCAGGGGACTGGGACTGCCCGTGATGTAAAGCTGTGAATTTTTCACGGAGGGAAAATTGCTTCCTCTGTGGGAGGCGAATCTGGCTGCAAAGGCCTCAGTAAATTCAGAAATGTAAAATAGAACAGAAATGTATCTCAATGGGAAATCAGTCTTCAGGGGGAGAGGGGAGGGGTGGGAGGGGGACTGGGTGAAGTGGGGGAAAGGGGATGAGTGGGAAGACTGGACAATGGGGTGGGGGGACGCGGGGTTGTGGGAGGGAGGATGTAGATGACAGGCAGGGAGAGACATGTTTTAATGACTCCCTTTGTATTTCAGAGTATTAGTAGTCAACACTCCAGAACTACTGCAGTTTTTATTTGTGTGTGTGTCTCTAGCTCCTTATCTTAAAGTGTCTGGTGGACCTGGGCAGTATGTAACACCTCCACTCCCTCCCTTCATGTAGGCCTTAGATAATTGGGGCAGGAGTGGATATTTGACCAATCCTGAGCCAAATGAATTTTTTATGTTAGAAAATCTGAACAGACAGGCAGATTCCACAGTCAGAATGGTGTTGGGCAATGAAGCAGTGGGTCACTTGGAGTTGGGGCCAGGGTCAGAGCCATGGACACCAAGGCCATAGCTGAGGCCTGGCCCTGGCTGTGGGGAAACAGAACTGGATGCTTTACAGAGTCAAGTGTCTTTTAGAGGACGCCAGTATGAGGTTTCAGGGAGCAGACAGGCATAGAGGAGTTCATCCTGTGACTCCAGAGAGAGGGAGAGAGTAGTGGTGGCCCAATCACTTTTTACTTCCTGTAGTTGTGCTACATGAAAATCTACTTTACACAGATCCCCTTTATTTTAAACTAATTTGAGTGAGTTTCTGTTCTGAGAGCAAGATTATTTCCAAGTCAGACGTTTGTACCAGAAGAGCAATTTTGAACAAAAGACCATTAAAGAAAATGGTGGGACTTGCTGGGGAGTTGCATCAGGGTGTGGTGAGCAGTGGAGATTCCTGAATCCCAAGAGTTTCCATGAATGAACTGGATAGGAAGTTTATTCATGCTCTGAGTGAGTTATATCACAAGAAACAATCAATTCATGCTCTGAGTGAGTTATAGCACAAGAAACAATCAAAACAGGCCTGGGATGAACCCCAGGTTCATCCTGACTCAAATCAACACAGCAGAGATTTGCCACTCCTAAGGGAATCCCTTAGACCTACCTACAGAAGACACCAGCATCATGCAGGTGCAGACTGCTATGACTGTATGGCCCCATGATAGGAGAATCCTTTCCAGTACCCAGTCTGTAGAACCTGGGACAGTCAGATCTGAAAAGAGAACCGCCACTGCCAAGGAGGTGAATCAGCAACTGATAGTGCTCAGAGGGTTTGCTGGTCTAGACTATGAACCAAAGCATGGTGCCATCTTGAGAGATTCTGTCCCCCAACCCACCACCGCAATGATAAATGTGGGAGGGAAATCTGGCTACAAAGCTCTCAGTGAATTCAGAAATGTAGAACAGAACAGAAACATATCCCAATGGGAAATCAACTTCTAGAGGGAAGGGGTGAGGTGGAGGAGGATAGGAGTGGGTAGGGTAAGGGGGTAGGTGACAGGTTAGTCTGCTTCTCTCCCTCTGATGACTAAGTTTTGTTGATGGGGGCTACATGTATGTTTTAGCCCACAGGTGGAAGGATGAGAAGGAGCTACACCTGGACCAGACTGAGACACAACTGAAGGAGCCCTGGACATTGCCCAGGACCTGTGGACATAGAGACTAAGAAGCTGTCATGGCCCTGGGACATCTCTGCTGCAGCTAAACTTGATTTTTAGGTTTTTTCCTGTTGGGGATGAACAATAATCAGGATTGAGGGTCAGGTTCCTAGCCTGCAGTTTTCAGAAATGTCTTTGAGTTTCTTTATACATCTCTAGGGCAGGGTTTCCTAATCTCAGTACTCTTGACATTTGGAGCTGGATAATTCTTTGTTGCAGGGGGCTGTCCAGTACATTGTAGGATGTTTAGAAGAATTCCTAGCCTCTACCCACTAGTTGCCAAGGGCATCCACCCCTCAGAGCCCCGGTTGTGACAGCCAAAAATGCCTCCAGATACTGCCACATGTCCACTAGAGGGCAAAATTGTCCCTGGTTGGAAAATGAGGTACTTAGGAGTAGTCAGAACAGGGGAAGAATTAGGAGAAAAAGGTCAATGAAGCTGAGGGGCCCTCTCAGATAGGAGCTTGAAAAGTATCCATTGGGTCTGGCATTTACTTTGGATCTTCCAGCAGATCTAGGGGAGTGGCAGGGGCAGAAGCCAAACTGCAGAAGTGAGGAGTGAGTGAGGATGATGTGGAGTCATTGAGGGAGGCTCTTCCTCAAGGATTCTTGGCTGTGAAGGGAAGGATTGAAGTGGGATACTCAGTTGAGAGAGGATTTTTTTTTCTTTCTTTCTTTTTTTTTTTTTTTTTTGAGACGGAGTCTCGCTCTGTTGCCCAGGCTAGAGTGCAGTGGCGCAATCTTGGCTCACTCCAACCTCTGCCTCCCGTGTTTAAGTGATCCTCCTGCCTTAGCCTCCCGAGTAGCTGGGACTACAGGCATGTGCCACCACGCCTGGCTAATTTTTGTAATTTCAGTAGAGATCATGTTAGCCAGGCTGGTCTCGAACTCCTGACCTCAGGCAATCCACCTGCCTCAGCCTCCCAAGTGCTGAGATTACAGGCGTGAGCCACCGTGCCTGGCCGGTTCTTTTGAATATGGGAGAAATTTGAGCCATGGAGAAGGAGATAGCTGAAGAAAGCTTGAAAATGCAAAAAACATGTGAAAGAATGTGGTAGATTTTGCATACTGTATCAGAGGCATGGCCCCTGTATTGATAAATGAAAAAAAAAAACAAAAAAAAAAAAAAAAAAAAAAAAGTTTGTTTTTGTAAAAAAAAAAAAAAAAAAAAACCCAAAGTTCTGTGTGTATATGAATGTTATAAATTTATATATTCATGTTTGTCTTATGTTACAGTTTTATGTTTGTGTAAGCATATAAAATGGTCTGGAAATACATTTAGCAAACAAGGTACCTGGCGGGCTCAGGGTCAGGGGATAGGAGGCAGCAGGGTATGGGGATATAGGGTGGGATGGGGTATGGGGCAGTTGGGTGGAGGGCTTTTCTTTCTTTATATACTTCTGTGTTATGAAAGTAAAATAAGTATTCACAAAAATACAAAAATAAGTGAATTTACTGGCTTGGGTGGCTTGGAAGGGCTGCCTTTTCCTTTGGGACTGGAGAAAAGAAGAAGAGCAGACATTGATCTATAAGGCAAAGGGGTGTTAAAACAAGGGGGCACCTGTTTGTGTGTGTGTTGTGGACAAAGTGCTTGGAAGTAAGTGAAGATGGAAGGGCAGGGCAGGGGTGGGATCCTCTTCGGGTACTTTGGGGAATAACTAGTAGATGAAGGTGGGAAATGGAGGGAGAGAAAAGGATCATCAAGCTGCATGGAGTAGGATAGGACCCAACTGAAAGAAAACTAAAGGGGAGAGCAGTGGCAGTCTAGGAGGAAAAGGGGTGGCAGATCCAAGTGGGGCAGCACACCCAAATCTATCTCTCAGGTGTTAAAACCGTCCACTTACTCATTACAGAAAAACAGTACATACAAAAGGGGAAAAGGCAGGATGGGCGGGCAGAGATCTGTGCCTGACTCCTTCCTGCTCCTTCTAGGCCTGTAGCACATCTCTTCATTTGTTGCTCCACTGTGGAGAAGCCGAAAACTAGCTATATTTTATTTTCAGGTCCAGTCAGCTGGGAGTGCAATTTCTAGCAACCTAATCTTTACCTGCAAATACCTAAGAGTTTAAAGCAAAGTTCAACTTACCTCAGGTCTTTGATTTTACAGCATGGATTACGCAGTCCTTGGCAGAGCAGGTGTAGCTGAGACACTGGCAAACTGCACAGCTGAAAGGACCTAAAAGAGATGAGGAAATAAAAAGTAATTTAAAATAAAACTTTAAGTAAAAGGCTTATTTGACTTTTGTTACTTTGCTAGTAGTACTAATTTACCCCTTCCCAAAACCTTAAGAAGTATTACCCCATTTTGCAGATAAGGAAATTTGGGCACAAAAAGTAATCTGCACAAGGTCACATAGGTAGGTACAGAACTGAGGTCATTACTCAGGTCTGACTCCAAAACCATGTTACTATGTGCCAGGCACTGAGGTATGCACTTTATTTTCACAAATTATCTTATCTGGCCCTTAATCCAATAACAAGTATTATAATCACCGTTTTGCACATGCTCTGAGACATCAAGTGACTTGCCCAAGCTAACTTTACAATATAACTGGTTCTTGGTTGTTAGTACTAATAGAAGAATTAATAACAATAATTAAAAACCAAGAAAGCTCAATAGTAAACTTTTACATAGCCAATATGCTTGGGAAAGAAGAATGTTGGGTTAAATTTTTGATAAGAGTTTAAACCCTCTGACAAAGGCAATAAGGGTTATGGGGGAGGACTCCATCTAAGGTTGACTTTCTGAAAACCCAGAATGAACCAGAAGATGCTTTGCTTCCATCAGTGTTTCAACTTTAAATGTATCAGTCCATTATTTTACTTTATAATATACAGCTGGAATAAAGCTGTATATTATATACATACACAGAATTGGTCAAGGCCTTGTAGGCAAGGTCTTTCACAATTCTGAGTCCATTAAACCTCCCCCTCTAGTTCCAAACACAAATTTTTGTTAATGCCTCCCTCCCTCTCATTTCCCTCAAACCCACATACCCCATGCTCATTTCCACCTTTATGCTATTGCCCACTCAAGAAATACAACTATAAGTGATACAACTTGAGTTATTTCATTCCTCAAGTGGAGCTTTCTTCTGATCCCTCTCCTCCCAGTCCCCTGCCCCTCAACTGGCCTGAAAACTAAGGGAGAAGCATTATCAATCTTAATCCATATTGAGAACTGACTTACAGCATTTTCTAGATAACACAGGTATAAGTCTTCTTTGCTGCTTTAGTCAATAAGCCAGTGGGACTGTATTTTATGGTATACAGAGTCCGTATTATAAAAGTAATTTACCTAAGCCTCTTTCAACTTCAGCTCATGACCTTCTGTGAAGTTGCAAGCTCTGGTGGAAATAACCAGGATTTATAGCAAGATCATACAGGAGTGTACCTCTGCCCCTTACTAACCTGAAGTTCCTTGAGGCCTCAGTGATGAAGTATATGTAGAGGAGAGTGACAACCAATTGAAAGTTAGGTTTTATACCTTTTTCCAGAATGGTCATTACACCAAAATAGCAGAGTCCTGAATGATCAACTTGATGACCTTACATGCTCATTAACACTTTAGAATTACAAACCACATCCACACAGTGACAATGAATACTAATACACACACACACACACACACACACACACACACACACACACACAGAGTGACTAGTACAGTCCCCATTGTCTGGGAAGGCCAAAAACTGGAGGAAAGAATGGATATACACACTGATTAAGTGTCAAGGCTAGTGGCACGAATGTTGAGGCTCGCTCTTCCTCTTCAAATCCAAGTAGGTGCTGACACATCAGAGACACTTGACAGGTGACTGTGACTGCTTTTTACACAGAAGGACATAGCCGGAATGTCCATTTTTGTATAGGTAGGTTAAAGCAGTATAATTGACTGTAAATCATCAATTATCCTTTTTGCATTTTCTTCTTCCTGAATCTCATACAAACAGTGAAACAGGTCCACCGGCTCAATCTGTAACCTAGAAGCCTTATCCTTTATTTCTCTCTCAGTCCACTTCAGTAACCCCTCTCGAAGTCCTGGGGAAAGTTTTATTCCAAAAGTAGTTTCCACAGCCTTTCCTTTCTCTTTATGTAAGAGGCCAAATAAGAATTGCATCATTAGTGATGAAAAACCTTTTCCATATTGTTAGAACATTTCTTGCCACATTTTCTCTGCTTGATAAAAAAAAAAAAATCCAGCTATTGTCATTCTTCAGGGCATGGAAGACAGCAGTCAAGAACTCTTGGAAACTGAAGTGAAGGAAAGTATAGACACTGACAGCTCCTTCAGCCTTTTTCAAAAATCGACTGAGAAAAATGTAGTTGGTATCACACACTCCTATCCCATGTCTTCTGAGGTCACTGACTGCAAACAAAACCTGATGGTTTTGCAGACCTTCTGCAGCCAAACAGCAAAGACCCCACAGGCAACTTTGTCCCTCCCATACTGAGATGCCTGTAAGGGTTTTGAGGCACTTGGAAAAGTAGAATAAATACACATCAGTCATGGTCTGAAGTGATCTCAAGAGAGTCCTGTCACCATCTCCCTGTGACTGCAGGACACTGCATATCATCCAGGAGACGATGGGAAGTGAAGACATAAAGTCAAGGTCCTCATTCTCTCAAAGATTGTAAAAGACTTTCATTGATGTATTAGCACCTGAAAACTGGCTCAGTAAATATGCTGTCTTTTCAGTATCTGTAAACCGTAAGATCTCTGCCTGGATAGGTTGTTTTAACAGAGTGGAGCTTCATGGTTGTAGGCCGGGCAGTTATCAGGAGGGAGGAATCAGGGAGCAGTTTTTTCCTCACAAAACTGCACAAGAGACCCTCTACTGGCTTCCTCTCCTGGGGGTGAACACTAAGATCCTCTTCTTGGTCACCAACAGGGCCCTGCAGCTCAGGAAATCCATCGAGAATGAACAGAATCTTCTCTGGATATATGAGAATAGTGTCCAAGATTGGTCCATTTATATCTTGAAAAGTGTTAGTGATAAGGTCAGCAGCACTAAGGTTAGCAATATGGCAGATTTCTCTCAGTTGACATAGATGAGATAGTCAAACCTCCCTGGAGTAACCGTTCCTGCTGCCCAAACATGAACTTGTGCACCACAGCTGTTTCCCAGTCCCAGCACATCCCTGAAGCACCACAGTTCGGGATGAGCTGGAGCCCTCTTCACTAGGATCAAATACATGTTCCATGTCAATAAAATGATCTTGTTGAGGAATTTCACATGGTGTCTCTTCTGATATACCATGGTCTTTTATAAGAAGCAGTTGTGATTCTATATGCTTGCCATGGTGATAACATTTATCAACTCCTATCTTTAGGTATTTTTCTTTTAGATGTCTTCTGAATATTTCCCAGTAATCTAATGTGGTGACAGCAAGAGTTAGTAATTACAGAATCCCAGACAACAACTCTAACTAGTACCTCCATCACCACCATCTCTACTTAGATGTCCCAAAGGATCCTCAACTTTACATGTCTAAACCTGAGTTCTTGATTTCTATACTCTTCTGTCCCCGCACACAAAACCCTCCTCAGGCATCTTGTCAAAGTTAAGTGGTGCTATCCAGTTGCTCAGAAAAATGTTATGAGTACTTTTCCTTCAATCCTCTACATCCAATCAATTAGCAAGGCCTAACATTTATACTTTCAAAATAAGCCTCGAATCCATTTATTTACCACTATATCCTCAAATACCACCCAAGTCTAGGGCACTGTCACCTCCTTCCTAGACTGACCAAATAGCATCCTACTAATCTATTCTTGCCCATCTACTGGTTCCTTCCTATGCAGCAGCCAAAACAATCTTCTACAGATACCAATTAGATCATGTCACTTCCCTGCCCAAAATCCTTCAAGAGCTTTTCATTGTTCTTGGTATAAAATCCAAAATTCTCATCCTACAAGGTGTTCTCATGATCTGAGCCCTCTCTACCTCCCCTCCTCAGCCTCATTTTTTATCATTCTCTTTTCTGCTCTCTACGTTAAAGACACACTGGCCTACTTTCAGTTCTCAAAATGCCATGTTCTCTCCTACTTCAGGGACTTTGCACTAGCTAATCTTTCCACCTGGAACATTCTTCCTCCTGCTGTTCCCATGAAAAGCTCCTTTTCATCCTTCTGATCTCAAATATTACTTCCTAGAAGAGGATTTGTTTGACCACCCAATTTAAAGGAGATCCTCTCTACTATTTCCCTTACTGGCACCATATTTTTACCTTTATAGCTCTTATCACAATTTATAACTGTCTTGTTCATTTACTTTTTCACTGTCTTTTCTACTATACAATAATATACCTGAAGACAGGGGCCTTATCTGTCTATCTCCTTTATAATAAGTACCCTGAGTACCTGGCACCAAGCCCAGCACATAACAGACACTCAATAAATATTTATTGAACATGGCTATAAATGCCTTTGGATTACAAACAAGTTACTATTGCCTATTCTGTGACAGACACTGTTAGGACCTTTATGTATATTTCTGATTTAATTCTCACAATAATCCCATGAAATAGGTATTACCTACATTTGATAGTTGAGGAAATTGAAACTTATAACTAGGGCCACCTTCATGAGTGTGCAGTCTCTGCAGTCACACAGGTCTCCACGCTCAGAAGGATGTATAATTGGTTTAATGCTCTGCTGTTGCTGTCTTGAAATTCTTAATATTTGACCAAGAGGTTTTGCATTTTCATTTTGTACTGTATCCCACAAATTATGTAGCCAGTGCTGCTTTACATAGCTTTAAGTAATTTGTCCAATACTAGTAAGTGACATCAAGTACAAACTTATATTAAGTGAATGTCTATGCCAGCATTTCCCAAATCAGAGTTCCCTGGAAAACTGTCTGAAGAAGGGAGTGCACCCTCTAGTCTCTTAGAATTTCTCAATGCTTATAAGCATATGAAAGGCTCTTGTACTAGCATATGAAACATTCTTTAACTCTCCTACAGTTGAAAAAGGCTGTTTAACTGTGTTTAACCCGAAGTTTTCTGGTCCTAAATGACTACAGAACCCTTTTCTAACAGCAAAGTTATTAATTACTGCAAAACTGTTCCTAGAACTCAGTTTGGGGAATGCTAATCTAGATAAGGGTTGGCAAACATTTTCTGTAAAATTTCTTAAGTAGTTTAGGCTTTTCAGGCTCTGTTGCAATTACTCAACTCTGCCATCTTACTGTGAAAGTAGCCATAGATAATATGTAAACAAATAGCTGTATTCCAATAAAGCTTTATTTACAAAAATAGGCAACTGGTTGGGTTTGGCTTGCTAGCTATAGTTTGCTGGCCCTGATCTAGATAATTCCAGAAGAGGACTGGTCTTTTCTCAGAATAAAAGTTTCTACATCTAGCTCTTGACCAGTATTCGAATAGGTATTTGAATATATTCTATATGATATAGAAGCCCTGTTTGTCGTGACAGTTTGGGGCTTTATAGTTGCCAAAAAAAAGCAATGATTGCTGCCCCAGTGGATAAGGGGGAAAAGTTAGAGAGAAGCGGGGTGGGGCAAGGATGGGTAGTTGGGTTCTTGGAAGATACTATTATCAAAGCAGAAAAAGAGAGTAAAGTAGAAAAGACATCTACATCTACCTGTAAGCTCTTTACATGAAAATGAAGCCAGAGAACTTGAAGCAACTGTGGAAGAAAGAGTTAGAGTTAGGAGTAGCACAAATACACCTTTATACCAAAACCTGAAATGCACAGAAATTTTGCCACGCTGCAACAGCCATTCATGCTGCTCCCCAAATAGAAATACAACGAAGAAAGTAAATCATCTCACATCTTCTCTAACTTACCCACAAAGGTATTTTATAGCTAATATGCAACATAAAATAAAACATAAGAATTTCCCAGCTGGGGACAGTGGCTCACACTCGTAATCCCAGGGCTTTGGGAGTCTAAGGTGGGAGGATCACTTGAGCCCAGGAATTTGAGACCAGCCTGGGCAGCATAAGGAGACCTTGTCTCTACAAAAAATAAAAAATCCGCCAAGTGTAGTGGTGTGCACTTGTGTTCCCAGATACTTGGGAGACTGAGGCAGGAGGATCACTTGAGTCTGGGAGGTCAAGGCTGTAGTGAGCTGTGATTGCATCACTGCACTCCAGCCTGACTGACAGAGTGAGACCCTATCTCTTAAAAAAAAAAAGAATTTCCCTTATGCATATATTTAGCTGTGGATATTTTAATTTATATCATCAATAAGGAAAGTTTTCAGCATGAGCTTAAAGACACATACATTATTTGAAGTGATTGTTTTCTGCTATTTTCTTTCCACTGAATATTACCCTCTTGCTTCTGTTGTGGTTTTCATTGAGCTTAACTCGTTAAAGAACAGGGCTTTGCTGATTATTAATTTGATAGATATATAAGATACATATGATGACCTACATTCAAATACATATTTTACACACACTCAATCCAGATACTTTACATATAGATATATAAATAATAATACACAGCACACACACAACTCCACATTCCTATAATTTTTTACTACTTGCACACTTTTAAAAGCAAGAGTAAGACTTAGAGTTGGGAAGAAGTTGTGACTAGATGGGTGCTAAGAGGTGAATGGGAAGAAGCAGGGTGTGGATGGGCAGACATGAGACTGTCACAGAAATGAGCAGGCAAGTGAGTGGTCTGTTGAGAATAACTGGTTTCTATTCCCCACAACTAAACATTCCTTGGATTTCAGGAATCAACCACAAGAGGAAGGACTCCAGCAGTCTTCACTCTTTGTTCTTTTGTGCTGTGTCCTTTGAAAAGCTATGGTTACATTAAAGGAAGACACTTGGAGTCTTTTATAATTGTAAATGTTTTGGGGGATTATGGAAAACAACGGAAACCACAGTTGCCTCTTCTCTTTCTTTATCCCTATTTTAGGCAACACAAAAATTGTGGAGACAGTTTCAAGGGATTAATGGGTAAATACTGTATCCAAGTAATTCACATCTAACAAAATTTTAAAGTTTCAGAAGAATCTCTAAGGGTATGAGGAAAAGAAACAAGAGAAAGACAATGAATAGGCTTACCTAGTATATACCCTCCCTTACTTCATTCAGTTACTCACCATTCTCTCCAGACAATAAACTCCAGGTACAAGCAAGTTCCATATATTTTCTTTTCTTCTGATTGTTCATCCTGGCAAATCAAGAAGACTGTAATCCAAAACAGCAACAATGACTATAAGGCCTAGTGGATGCTCAGAGTAAAAAAGTAACTCAAGAAAGACTCTTCATTCAAGGCATTAGAGAGCTGGAGAAAAGAGAAGGCCCAATAACCAAGCAGACAGCTGAGGTAGGACCCTGGGGAATCACATGAGGACAGACCAAAACGAACAGTCTTCAACTTGAAGAAAAAAAAAAAAGGCTGAAAGAGGATAGAATGTGTATAAAGTTTTGAAAGGTACAAACATGGAGAATGTCAAATTGGGCTCTGAATTGAGTCACTAAGAGAAGTATAGGAATTAGGTAGCATACCCCTAATGTCTGAGATCAAGAGAAGTAAGAATGACGATGTCCTTCCACAACATATTTTTGGTGCCATCAATAAAGGGAGAATTCTAAGACTACAGATTGGAATACTGTGGTATAAGAGAAATAGTCTATAGAATCAGAAGACCTGGGTCCTAGCTCCATTTCTATCTATCCATGGACCTCGAATAAGATTCTTCTCCTTTCTGGGAGAAGGGTCTGCTTTACTATTTTGAAAATGGTTCAAGGAATGTTAGACCAGGTTTCTTTCCAGGTTTAACACTGTAAGATCAGTAGTTCTCAGTCCTAGCTACACATTAGAATCCTGAAATATTACTTATCACCTTTTAATATACTTGATAATTTACTTATGTATCATGCTTATTGTTCTTTGTTAGTCTTTCCCACCTAAATTGAATTACTGGCCCCTTTCTCCACCTTTGTCATGAACTTTGCAAATCCACACACCAAAAAATGGAGCTTATTTTCCCACCTCCTGTCTTTGAGCTCAGTCATGAGACTTTGGTTAATGGAGTGAACCCAGAGTTGGACATGTCATCTCTTATGATTCATGAAAGAAGCCACAGAGAAAGGAGACCCAGCTAGTTCACTGGTCTAAGGAGGATGAGAAATACATGAAGCAGAACCATCATAGCTTACCCACAGTACTGCAGCAGGAAAGCACAGTGACCCCAGCCTGAATAAAGTTACCCAACAGAGCCCTCTTTAATCATCTGAGTCTCAGCTGCCCTCCAGATCTGTGAAGATAAATGCTTAATAAGTGATTAATTTTTCATGCCACGGAAATTTTGTGGTTGTTGTTACACATCACTGTGGCAATGGCTAACTGATACATCCTGCTAGAATGTAAATGCCTAGAAAGTGTTTGGCACAGAGTAGACATTCATTAAATATTTATTAAATAAATTGAATGAGTGAATAGCTTTTTAAAAACCCAATGACTTGTCCACATTACTGTTAAATTATATCAGAATCTTTGATGATAAGGCTCAGCATCATTTTTTAAAGCTTCCCAGGTGATTCTAGTGCAAAGCCAGGGAAGAGAGCCACTGTTAAAAGATTTGGTTATTTTTGTTAGAGAAAAGTGTGTGTTGGTGAAACATATAGGCCTTAGAATCAAGCAAATGTCTTCAAGTACTGACTCTACCACTTACTGACTGTGTGACAACCAGGAAATTAATATTTCCAGGTCTTAGTTTCATCAGTTAAGGAGGGATAATGATGGTACTTTCTGTATCATGTTTTATTAAGATTAAATAAGATAAAGTATTCAGCACATTGCATGGTACACAGTAGGGGCTCAAGAATCGTAAACCATAGCTAATGTTTGTATTGCTGCATCATCTAATATAGAGTAGAAATTTTTTTAAATTCTGGTAGACCTTACTTAAGTCCCATTTCTACCCTTTTCAGCAATATGACCTTGAGTAAATTACTTAAACTCTCTGAGATTTCAGTAACTGAACTGTAAAATGTGGTTGATAATAATACCTACCTCATTAATTTGTTGTGAGGATTAAATAAGATCACACTCATAAAACACTCAACACAGGCCCAGGTGCAATATAAATGATAAATGTTACAGAAAAAATAAGATGGCATTTATTGTAACTTTGACAGAAAGATGTTACATTCCATTAAAATCTCCACATAACAAGTTCATTCTTATGAAACAGAATGTTCTCAGCACAGTGTTATAGTCCCATACCCTACACTCTTCCCAATCTCTAGGAACACTTTTTTGCACTCCCCCAAATAGGAACACTCCTCCAGCTACAATTACTGTGTAGTAAGCGCTCCTGCCCTCGGGCAACAGAGCTGGAGGGCTGCATGGCCTCTCACTCTCTTTCTGGGCAATCTACACCATGCCCATTATTTCAGTTATCTTTATGATTCCCAATCGTTTATCCCAGTCTAGCCCTCTCTTTTGAGATTCAGACTTACATATTTAAAGGTTTACTCAACATCTCCACGTGGATGTTGACACCTTGTTTTTTTTGTCTCCTTTGGTAACTATTGCTTGGTTGGTCCAGAATTCTTTCACTGACCTTTGTTCTGATGAAAGATCCCATCCCTCTTAGTGAAATAATCAGATTCCCCATCCTTGAATGTTTAAACCTGACTGGGGACTATAGAGACTGAGGTTCTGCTACCTAAATGTCTCAAGCTCGATGGTTCCTGACCTCCCTGAGGCCTTGTTTTTCAGCATGTCAGTTTAGATTTGAGTAATTCCAATATCCTTCTAAATACTCCTTTTTGTTTAAGTTATGCAAAATCAATTGCTGTGGTCTGCAACTGAAGAATTCTGATTTAAAAATTATACCACAGACCCAGTTACAATCACGAGACCTTTGGAGAGAATTATGAGGGGCATTTTATAACTGGTTATTAGTCTCAGCTAGACTAAAGGCTGTGAGGTGGCCCGAATTCCAGGATAAGAAAATAGTATCCATTGTTCTAGGATTTCCACCAATACATATAAGGTATTTATACAAAGTACTAAAAGGTAGCCTCTTCAAGAAGACAAATCATACTAAGATGTGTCCTCAAAGTAGCTGAACTACAAAATGGTGAAATGGTGCTCTTTCCTCTTGGATGGGGCAGGACCAAACTAGGATATACAAGTTAGAGAGCAGAGTATGGGTTAATTGCAGTCCCCATTCACACTCTTGGTCCTGTGCCTTTTAAGTCAACAAACTGAAAAACTTTATATGATGACTCTACATGGTATGCATGCAGCCAAAAATAGGGGAAAGAAATGCTATAATTTTTTCCACCTTTATTAAGATATAACTGAAAAATAAAAATTGTGTATATTTAAGATGTACAGTGTGATGATTTGATATATATACATACACATTGTGAAATGATTACCATAGTCAAGCTAATTAGCACATCCATCACCTCACATGATTACCATTTGATATGGTTTGGATGTTTGTCCCCTCCAAATCTCATGTTGAAAGGTAATCAGCAGCGTTGCAGGTGGGGCCAGGTGGGAGGTGTTTGGATCATGGAGGTGGATCCCTCATGAATGGCTTAGGTCCATCCCCTTGATGATAAATGAGTTCTTGCTCTGAGTTTACATGAGATCTGGTTGTTCAAAAGAGTGTGGCACCTCCGCCGTCTTCCTCTGGTTTTCACCATTTGATGAGCTTGCTCCCCCTTCTCCTTCTGCCATGATTAGAAGCTTCCTGAGGTCCTCATCAGAAGCAGATGCTGGCATCAGAAAACTGGTACTGGGGGGGGGGTATTAATATGAAGTTACCTGAAAATGGGGAAGCAGCTTTGCAACTGGGTAATGGGCAGAGGCTAGAAGAGTTTGGAGGTCTCAGAAGACAGGAAAATGAGGGAAAGTTTGGAACTTCTTAGAGACTGGTTAAGTGGTTGCAACCAAAATGCTGATAGAAACATGGACAGTGAAAGCCAGGCTGATGAGGTCTTAGAAGGAAATAAGGAAGTTATTTGGAACTGGAGGAAAGGTCACCCTTATTATGCCTTATCAAAGAGCTTGGCTGCATTGTGCCCTGGTACTAGGGAACTGTGGAAGGTTGAACCTAAGAGTGAGGACTTAGGGTACCAGTGGAAGAAACTTCTAAGCAGCAAAGCATTCAAGAAATGGTGTGGCTGTTTCTAACAACCTATGATCCAATATGGGAGCAATGGAATTACTTAAGGTTGGGACTCACATTTAAAAGCAGAGTCCAAATGTTTAGAAAATGTATAGCCTGGCCCTGTGGCAGAGAAAGAAAAGTATTTTCAGGGGAAGAATCCAAGCAGGTTGCACAGCAACCACTTACTGGAGAGATTAGCATGACTCAAAAGAGAGCCAAGTGGTAATATCCAACACAATGGGGAAAAGGCCTCAAAGGCATTTTAGAAGTCTTTGGGACAGCCCCTCCCATCACAGTCCCAGAGGCCTAGGAGGAAAGAATGGTTTAGGGGGCCAGGCCTGGGGCACCACTGGCTTGTGCAGCCTCAGGACACTTCACCACCCATCCAGGCCCCTCTAGCACCAGCTCAAAGGGCTCCAAGTACAGCTCCAGCCACTGCTTCAGAGGGTACAAGCCATAAGCCATGGCAGCTTCTATGTGGTGTTAAGTCAGCCTGGGTGACAGAGTGAGACCCTGTGTTAAAAAAAAGAAAAAAAAAGGAATGAAGTACTGATACATGTTAGTTACACACAGGTGACACTTGAAAACTTTATGCTAAGTGACAGAAACCAGAAACAAAAGGCCACATATTGTGAAATTCCATTTATATGAAATATCCAAAATAGGCAAATCCATATAATCAGAAAGTAGATTCGTGGTTGCCAGAGGCTACAGTGGTGGAAGGAAGAATTGCTAGTGATTGCTAACAGGTATAGGGTTTCTGTTTGGGGTGTTGAAAATATTTTGGAACTAGATAGTTGTGATAGTTCCAGAGCATTGCGAATATACTAATATCACAAAAAGGTACACTTCAAAAAAGAGGTAAATTTTCAGGTATGTGAATAGAATCAAAAAATATCAAGTAAATAAATCCATAAAAATGCAATTGTAAAAGAAAATGGGAAGGTGGAAACAACCCAAATGTCCATCAGTGGAGGAATGGATAAACAAAATGTGGTCTATATGTATAATAGGCTATTATCCAGCCTTAAAAAGGAGGAAATTCTGACACATGCTCCAACATAGATAAACTAGAAGACACTATGCTAAGTGAAATAATCCAGACATAAAATGGGAAATATTGTGTGTTTACACTGATATAAGTTACCTAAAATAGTTACATTCAGAGACCAAAAGTTATGAGGGGCTTGAGGAAAAGGGTAATACAGAGTAATTGTTTAATAGTTGTGAACTTTCAGTTTGAGAAGTGAAAAGGTTCTGGAAATGGATGGTGGTGATGATTGAACAACAATGTAAATTTACGTAATCCCAATGAACTCTACACTTAAAAATGGTAAAAATATCAAATTTTATGTTATGTATATTTTACCACAATAACAATAATAGGCAATTGAAAAAGAAATGAAAAAAATCCCATTTACAATAGCCAAAAATAAAATTAAATACCTGGAATTAACCAAAGAAGCGAAATATCTTTACAATGAAAACTATAAACACTGATGAAAGAAATTGAAGAGGACACCAAAAAAGGGGAAAATATTCCATGTTCACAGAGTGGAAGAATTAATATTGTTAAAATGCCCATATTACCCAAAGCAGTCTACAGATACAACACAATCCCTATCAAAACACCAATTACATTCTGCACAGAAATAGAAAAAACAAACCTAAAATTTATATACAGTCATAAAAGACCCAGAATAGCCAAAGCTGTCCTGAGCAAAAAGAATAACACTAGAGGAATCATATTACCTAACTTCAAATTATACTACAGAGTTATAGTAACGAAAAGGGCACGGTACTGGCAAAAAAACAAAAAAACAAAACAAACAACAACAACAACAACAACAAAAAACAGACACATAGACCAATGGAACAGAATAGAGAACCCAGAAAAATATCCATTCACCTACAATGAACTCATTTTCAACAAAGATGCCAAGAATATACATTGGGGAAGACAGTCTCTTCAATAAATAGTGCAGGGAAAACTGCATATTCATATGCAGAAAAATGAAACTTTATTCCTATCTCTTGCTTTATACAAAAATAAAATCAAAATCAATCAAATACTTAAATCTAAGACCGCAAACTATGAAAACACTAAAATAAAACACTGGGGAAACTGTTCAGGACATTGGTCTGGGCAAAAAATTTCTTGAGTAATACTCCACAAGCACAGGCAACCAAAGGAAAAATGGGCAAATAGGATCACATCAAGTTAAAAAGCTTCTGCACAGCAAAGGAAAAAATGAAGTGAAGATACAACTCACAGAATGAAAGAGAATATCTGCAAACTATATATCTGACAAGGGATTAATAAGCAGAATGTGCAAGGAGCTGAAACAACTCGACAGGAAAAAAATAAAATAATCTGATTTTAAAATGGCTAAAAGATCTGAATAGACATTTTTCAAAAGAAAACATACAAATGGCAAATAGGCATATGAAAAGGTGCTCAACATCACTGATCATCAGAGAAATGCACATCAAAACTACAATGAGATATCATCTCACCTCCATTAAAATGACTTCCATCCAAAAGACAGGCAATAACAAGAGCTGGAAAAGATGTGGAGAAAAGGGAGTCCTCGTACACTGTTGATGGGAATGTAAATTAGTACCACTAACGAAAACAGTTTGGAGGTTCCTTAAAAGTCCAAAAATAGAGCTACCATATGATCTAACAATCCAACTGCGTGGTATATACCCAAAAGAAAGGAAATCAGTATATCAAAGTGATATCTGTACTCTCATGTTTATTGCAGCACTGTTCACAACAGCCAAGATCTGGAAGCAACATTAAGTGTCCATCAGCTGACGAATGGATAAAGAAAATGTGGTACATATCACAATGGAGTCCTATTCAGCCACGAGAAAGGAATGAGATCCTGTCATTTGCAACAACATGGATGGAACAGGAAGTCATTATGCTAAATGAAATAAGCATTATTTCATTATGTTAAATGAAATAAACCAGGCACAGAAAGACAAACATCACATGTTCTCATTTACTGTGGGATCTAAAAATTAAAACAATCGAACTCATGGAGATAGAGGGTAGATGAATGGTTACCAGAGTCTGGGAAGTGAAGGTGGGTAATGGGTACAAAAAAATTGATAGAATGAATAAGATCTAGTATTTGATAGCACAACAGGCTGACTATAGTCAATAATAATTTAATTATACTTTTTAAGATAACTAAAAGAGTATAATTGGATTGTTTATAACACGAAGGATAAATGCTTGAGGTAATGAATACCCTATTTAATCTGATGTGATTATTAAGCATTGCATGCCCATATCAAAATATCTCATGTGCCTGATAAAAATATACACCTACTATGTACCTGCAAAAATTAAATATTAAGAAAAATAAGTAAAAAATAAAAATAATTAAGATGAAATTAATAATTACTGAAGTAGAAAGCAAACAATAATAGAACCATGGAGTGGATCAATAACAAGAAATAATATTTACTTGAAAAGACTAATAGAATACAAAAGTTTTTGTCAAGTATGATTTCAAAAATAAAGAAGGCACAAATTAACATTAAAAAATGAAAGGGTATAATGTGGGTGGGCCTAATACTATCAATTGAAGGCTTTAATGGAACAAAGACTAATCTCCCCCAAGCAAGAAGGAATTTTGGAGTACAGGCAAGATGGCCAAATAGGAACAGCTCCAGTCTGCAGCTACCAGCGAGACCAATGCAGAAGGCAGGTGATTTCTGCATTTCCAACTGAGGTACTCAGTTCATCTCACTGGGACTGGTTAGGCAGTGGGTGCAACCCACAGAGGGCGAGCAAAAGCATGGTGGGGCATTGCCTCACCCAGGAAATGCAAGAAGCCGGGGGACCTCCCTCCCCCAGCCAAGGGAAGCCATGAGGGACTGTGCTACCCGGCCTGGATACTATGTTTATTTCCCATGGTTTTTGCAATCTGCAAATCAGCAGATTCCCTCATGCGCCTACACTACCAGGCCCTGCGTTTCAAGCACAAAACTGGGCGACTGTTTGGGCAGATGCCAAGCTAGCTGCAGGAGTTTTTTTCATACCCCAGTGGCGCCTGGAACCTCAGTGAGACAGAACCATTTACTGCCCTGGAAAGAGGGCTGAAGCCAGGGTGATCTCTCTCAGCAGGTCCCACTCCCATAGAGCCCAGCAAGCTAAGAACCACTGGCTTGAAATTCTCGCTGCTGGCACAGCAGTCTGAAGTCAACCAGGATCTAGCTTGGTGGGAGGAGGGGTGTCTGCCATTACTGAGGCTTTATTATTCGGTTTTCCCCTGACACTGCTAAGGAGGCTGGGAGATTTGGGCTGGGCGGAATTCACCACAACGTGGCAAAGCGGCTGTGGCCAGACTGCTTCTCTAGATTCCTCCTCAAAGGGCAGAGCATCTCTAAAGTAAAGGCAACAGCCCCAGTAAGGGGCTTATAGATAAAACTCGTATTTCTCTGGGACAGAGCACTTGAGGGAAGGGGTGGATGTGGGCGCAGTTTCAGCCGACTTAAACTTTTCTGCCTACCGGCTCTGAAGAGAGCAGCTGATCCTGACAAGGAGGATTCTCCCAGCACAGTGCTCAAGCTCTGCTAAGGGACAGAACTGCCTCCTGAAGTGGGTCCCTGATGCCCATGCCTCCTGACTGGGAGAGACCTCCCAACAGGGGTCAACAGACACCTCATACAGGAGAGCTCTGGCTGGCATCAGGCCTGTGTCCCTCTGGGACAAAGCTTCCAGAGGAAGAAGCAGGCAGCAATCTTTGCTGTTCTGTGGCCTCTACTTGTGATACTGCTGTTCTGCAGCCTCCACTGGTGATACCCAGTTGAACAGGGTCTGAGGTGGACCTCCCACAAACTGCAGCAGACCTGCAGAAGAGAGGCCTGATTGTTAGAAGAAAAACTAACAAACAGAAAGTAAAAGCATCAACATCAACAAAAAAGACCCCCACACAAAAACCCCATCCAAAGGTTATCAACCTCAAAGATCAAAAGTAGAAAAATCCACAAAGATAAGGAAAAACCAGTGAAAAATGCGAAAATTCCAAAAACCAGAATGCTACTTCTCCAAATGATCGCAACTCCTCTCCAGCAAGGGCACAAAACTAGATGGAGAATGAGACTGATAAACTGACAGAAGTAGGCTTCAGAAGGTGGGGCATAAGGAGCATGTTCTAACCCAATGTTAGAAGCTAAAAACCTTGATAAAAGGTTACAGGAATTGCTAACAAGAATAACCAGTTTCGAGAAGAACATAAATGATCTGATGGAGCTGAAAAACACAGCATGAGAACTTTGTGAAGCATACCCAAGTATCAATAGCTGAATCAATCAAGCAGAAGAGAAGATATCAGAAATTGAAGATCAACTTACTGAAATAAAGAGTGAAGACAAGATTAAAGAAAAAAGAATGAAATAGAACAAACAAAACCTCCAACAAATATGGGACTATGTGAAAAGACCAAACCTATGATTGATGGGGAGAACGGAACCAAGTTGGAAAACACACTTCA